GGTGGCCCTCAAGCACGTTATGACCACTATAAAGATTATGTTGTATAAATCAAGGGCAGTAAGTTTGACCCCCTGAAAATAAGCACTACTGCTCTCACGTATACCTACTTTGCATGAAAATGCACCACACGCTGACGAAAGTTGTATAGAAAAGAGCAATAGAAAAACAATCAAGCATTTGAACATGTGAGAGATTTAGAAAGGGGTAACGATACGAAGAAGAACGAAAAAACTCGATTTAGGATAAACTCCTTGGAATTCGAACACACAACTCTCGCGCTTCTCGCATTCGCTCCGGGCCCTGAATTAGATTATTCTCTTTGACCCCATGAGCGGCCGCATGTCCCGACAGCAGCATCTTCCATGCGTGCGCGCTCGCGCTCCGCCGGCCGGCAAGTCCGGCACTCGTTCGGTGTGTGTGCCCGCTTGGCGGAACAGCTCAGTTCGCGGGCCGCTCGGCCGGATTTTGTATGAGCAGTGATAAAAGCCGTCGATAATTCATTTCCGACTGATCTAAGTTGAAGTCAGTTTTGAGGAACCTTAAAGGCACCGTCCACCCAAAATGGAGGTTGGCGAGATTATGATCGCATACTAGTGTGAGCCCCCACACTAGGCAAATCCTCAAGTTTCGCCGCAAAAGACTGCTTCTGGAGCGAGTAATCCACTCCGGAAGTTGCAAAGTAGGCGGGGCGACCAGGGTCGCCCCGCCCACTTGCATGCTTTATCTCGCCTGCATTTGTTGCAGAGGGTTCTCAAAACAGAGATTTTTGGGGGTTTCGCGGATTTTCGACTCCATATCCGGAATCAGGGCCTTCAGAAGGGCTGAAGGCGACAAAAACTTTGAATTCGAGATTTTAAGTGTGCGGTGCCTTTGAGAGCAGCGAAGACATCAAAGCTAGAAAGGTATGTAAGCAAATAGAGTATGCGTTCTGGGACACTTTAATTATTATACACTGCTACGGTAAGAGAACAGCTAACAAACTAGTCTTCGTTTTTGCAACTTGCTTCCAGTGCTTTTATGACCATGATGCTTTCTTTAAAAGTGGAGTCTAAACTTGTGAAATTTGACTTGTAACACCACGCTATCGAAAACTTTCTTGCGCGGCATTAAAAATCCGTATATCTAAAAATGCAATCAGTCAAGAGCAGAGTTGAGCAAGATTTAGGAACAGGTCTTTCGAAAACGACACTCCCTCCGTCTTCCATAAACCCTCAAACGACCCTTCTTCCTTCTCTTGGCTTTCAGAACCTCAGTGTGTGACAGCACACTAAAGACATCATCTTTTTTCAAAGAGTTTTCAAATTCTTGAGAACTGAACGCCCGATTTTTGCGACTGCACTTCATAGTCACACGTAATGTGACGGCTGATTTTGATCTGAATAGCTTATCGAAAGGGCCATAATATTTCTGGAAGTAGGGCGTTCGTCTCCATATTTGCATTGCAGCAAGAAGAAGCTATGAGCTCAAAACTCTTGCTAGAAATGATTCGATTTCTGGATTTTAAAGGCAAGTTAAGGGGATCAGGCGCAACTCCTCAAAAGTTCAAGTAGCCTGACCTTTGAGGGGTTGCGCCTGACCCGACGAAATCTATCACCGAGGAAGCTTTTCCATTTTAGCTTTATATAATTCGCTAGCATAAACCTCGAAGCTTCTACAATAGGTGTTTGAGCTCACCCCGCCTTGTTTTGGTTTTGTGGTGATCGGTGGAGTTGAAGTACTCGAGGTAGAAAACGCGGTGACTAACATCTTGGCTGCATTTCTTAGTCCTATTTGAAGGCGATAAGAAAGTTAATTTCTAGCATCGACTGATAATAAGTGATACATCGTTATGAATACAAAAAGGTGATTTCTTTCACTTTTGTGACCAAGTTAACACATTAACGACAGTTTGACACACATGGTGTGTCAAGCAATGACTACCGCGTGGGACCGCTTGACACACCATGTGTGTCAAGGCTCGAATTTTGTTAAAATGACCACTACTTTGGGATAAACTCACTCCATGAGCTCTCTTTTGCACTGAATCTAGAGATGATCTCTACCTTTCTTTGTCAGCCCTTCATATCTACTGTAGGTGTACCGTAGATATCATTATGCGTAATTATAGATGAGAATTGTGGGTTGATCCGTAGAAGGCTTTGGTTCCAGAAAGCAGACAACTAAAATTCTGTGAGGTCGTCAATGTGTTAATCATGTTTGAAAACCATGCTTTTTAGACGTTAGGAAACACTAGAAAATGTTAGGATTGGTTTGTAGAACTCATTGACGCAATTTACAATGCTAATTGCAGGAATCATACCCAATTAACACAAAAAGCTTCTTTGGTGACCTTACTTTATGTGTAAAATAAGATGAAGACTTGGAATTTGGCTAAGACTTCGTGAGTCGAATTAGTCAGCACGCTTGTCACGACAGTCATTCCTTTGATGGAGCTGTGAGATTCAGGGTTGAGCGATTTTCTTCTTCACCTTACTCTCGGCACAGGTGATTTGTAAGCAAGCTGGGTATTTTTTTGGACAAAAAGCAAAGGGGTTGTTTCTGAGACCGAAAAGAATAAAAATTGCGACTTTTTTTCAATGAGGTTTTGTTTTTGAAGCTTTAGGGATCATGGTGGAGGTCAAAGAGGACTTCGCAAAATCCGCAAAAATCAAGGGGGACTTCGTTTTTTGCGTTTTCAACTGGCCACCTCGTGCCAAGCCTTTTGTTCTCGAAGACGCTACTCCTGACTTTGAGCCTTGAGGCCAGCAAGCCTCGTGGACTTGGTTACTATACCTTCACCCATTGCAGAAGGGGTACTGTGGATATTTTCGCATGTTTTACCGTGCACATACTGATCAAAGCTTATACTTTATCAAGATTAACTTTGCAATTCAGTAAGTATAATAATTACTAGGTATCGTCTATTCCCCATAGTATAGCGGGAGGAGCTTTGCCGACGTTTTCCATTTATGCGCGTGGCAGTTTTTGGTAGCTAGAGATTACAAAAACTAATGCTGTGAGGTGGAGGTTCAACAAGTTTTCCAACGTGTTCAAATGTCTGCATGGCAGCGCCCGCTATACGCATGGAAAATGCCTATATATGAATGATCTTACATAAGGAATTATCTATTTGAAAGGGAACAATACATTCTAATATCTACCAAAATTGAAAAGATCAATCAATTGTCTTTCTTGGGAAGTGTACAGTCATTGTTGTGTCCCATTATTACAGTCATTAAGTGTTCCATTAATTACCGTTTACCCTAATACTTTTTCAGAAGTCGGAAAAATTGATCTTTTAGAAACCAAAAAACCGCTGATTTAAACGAGATCTTCAATTGCTGTCTTTTCCAGAAGGAAACCTAATTGTACGACTTGTGATAGCAATACGCTCTGAGCAACTAGGGAATTAAACTAAGTCAAGTAAGAGCGGGCGCAGCGGCACATATCTGAAGTTGTTGCTGAATTCATGTCAAATCTCAAAAGGTGAGCATGTGCAATTGATATATTTGCTAGGCCGTAGTGCGCAAATATTATTAGTCTGCGATAAGGTCAGATGCTTACAAGGGGAGGGCCGCTGCCCCACATTACCACCAGAAAAATCGACGCGCTCGGACAGTTGCATTCGTTCTATTATATGCCTAGAAGATCAAAGCATTTGCGCTATCTCATTAGCGACTCCAATTGGCCGACTTATCCCATCAGAAGTTTTCTGCCATGGGCCAGTAGTTAGCGAAACAATCAACACAGATCTGGTTTTCATACAAGCGTTGCAAACAACTCCACTGTCTTACTAAAGAAGAGGAAAAAATCGATTCAAAATCGCGGGTTACGGTGCAAAAATAAATAACGGCTCACGGCAATTAATCTAGATATTCACGGGTCAAGGACATGCATTTTTACTAAAAAAAAGTCGCGGAATGCATTTTTCCCCGAAAACCCACGGATAAGCATTCACATGCTCGCAGATCACGAGATTTTTTTTCCAATTCCGTTGTCGGACTCAGACCCCTAAGTGCTAACCACTACACTACGGAACTTCTATGTCAGGACAAAGGCTAACCTTTCCTTTACCTGAGTGTGGAGGGGATTACATTGATCTTACTATGATCTTTATTATACAAACTATATCGAAAAGGGGAAAAGGGAAAAAAGATCCGTCTTCTGCCGGTGGGCGGAGGCCACTGCCAGAGGTTCATCTTAGGCCAACATCCTCATAAGGAATCGTTGGAGTTTACTGATTTTACCAATGTTACCCGCGTTACTTACTCGTGTTACCCGTATTATCAGTGTTACGCTTGCTCGTGTTACTAATGTTACCGCTTTTATTGTTGTTGAGTACTAAATTGATTGGTGATGTGTCAGTGACTATTTCATTACTCAACTGAATAAAAGCGGTAACACTAGTAACACGAGTAACAAGCGTAACAGTGATAACACCGGTAACACGAATAACACTGATAACACCAATAACACGAGTAACACTGGTAATACGAGTAACACGGATAACACTGGTAACATCGGTAAACTCTAACGGATCTCTAAGCAGTGTTGGGTAATACCTGCCGACACATTACTAGCAAAGGATAGCTAACATGAGTTGATTGTTTGTCATGCTGCAACTTTCTTCAAATGCGAGAAAAATCAATTTCTAGCCAAATACTGGAATACTGATATACAGTACTCTCAAATCGGAGAAACAAATGGGGTGAAAAGACGACGGCATCTGTCTACGCACTCAAAAACGAATAAAAAACGAAAAAGTTGGATGCTATGAACATACTAATATGAGCTCCACATCGATGCACTTTTAGTTATGAAACTTATATTCTTTGTTGAAATAGTGTACCATACAGATGCTCATATGCGTCTATACATATCTTTTGCTATGTGTCGATGCACTTTTAGTTACGAAACTTATTTTCTTTGTTGAGATGTCCTATAGAGGTGCTCTCACATGCCTGTACATGAGTAAACTACCACACAATTAACAATTCTATTTGCGAAAGTGCACCGGTATAAATGTGCTTGAGGATTGACTCCATCCCAAAAATGATCCTCTATTGTTTTCTTCTGGTAAGCTGCATCAGCAAATATTCGTTTTTGTACGATTCGATTTTCAGATCCTTCCAAGCTACTCTGAAGCCTATGCTGACTCGGATGGCTATAGAAAACCTAAAAGCGATAGTGAATGGATGAACAATCTCAAAAGGGGATTCGAAGGTTCTTGCAGGCCATATGGCAAAAATATCAGTCTGGTTAGCTCTACATCTACAATTTCGGATTTGAGAATAACTTTCACCCATCTCATGCGCTTCAAATCAGTCCAAATAGTTTACGCTAACAAATTGTACTATATACAGCGTGAAAATACAAAAAAATTTGTAGAAATGGTCACCCACCTTTCACCGCAATATATCGTCCAAAATCGTATTTTTTTACCTCATCCAACAATCTTTTTTCAGACCTACGATCTGTCGAAGTTTCGCAATCTCGAAGGATATGTGAACAAGATAGAATTTCAGCCAGAAAAATACCGTATATTCAGCATGTATACAAGATGAGTTGGATAGCAGGCTGTAGCGACTCGGTGGGCTCTTGCACCTAGATGTTACCCGAGGCCTGATGCTCGCCCGATAATAAACGACGTACCTAGCCTACTGCGTACTAACGCGCGACCGAACAGAACATGATGTTAATTAAGTGGTTTATCCTTAAGGCACTAAACTACAGTTAAAATAAAAAAGGAATACTACACTAAAACAAAAAACAATCACTACTACTACTAAAACACGGGACGAGGGCCCGTCCCATGCTACCGATGCGCGCTGCAAGCATTCTCAAAAATACATGAGGCTCCCGAGGTTTCGCGCAACAAATCCACCGCGCAACGCCAAGGTGTAGACGACGGCACGTCCCCTCCACCTCCTGTAGATGTTTTCCGGTTGATATTAGGCGCGTGTGATTGCGCTACCAAAAAGAATCCATTTTCCAATCCAAAGAACTTCCGGCTCAACTGCTCTTACAAAAAAGGACAGGAGCATGGCGGCTGAAACGTAATTCGAACAAGATATCTAAAACCAATCAATAAGACGAAGGCGAACAAGGGCAACCAAATGAGGCGCCGCCGCTTTATATAGCCGCCTGGCTGGCAACGAGCCAATTAAGGAGACGATCCGGAGACGATCGCGGCAACACGCGTCTCGGCTACCGTAATCGTCGCCGGATAGCGCGGTAACCGATGCCCCCGGCCTCCGTACTTCGAGGAGCGCCTTGCATCGCGAGACGCGACACAGGCCATGTCCATTTCGATCTTCGTTCTGTGCAACAATCTTGTGAGATTTTTAGATACAGATATTCGAGGAAAGACCTTTACCGAATAGCACATGATTTCCTCCTCAATATTGGCAAAGAACACACCGGAGAAAAAGATCCTGGAAAGGCATGCGAGGTAACATAATATCGACTACCGCAACAGAGGCGCCAAAAGGTATATGTATGGGCGTGAACAGGGCCCGGCAGGAGGTGGCATTTCAGAATTTTGAAAACGATATCCCCTTTGAAGCCAAAATTTCTTACGACTTCCCCTTTGACCCTATTTTTGACCCTCGTAAGTCCCTAACAAACAGATATACACAAACAATAAGATGGGCGGTCTCAGCGCTTATTTAGTAGTACTACCTGGCTTTCCTGGTCCAGCCCGGGTCATCAAGGTGTCAGCTCAATGGGTTCATCGCAAGGGAACCTATAAAAAACATAAGGTCAAGATTTGCACAAACTTTGACGTTTATATATCTAAGATACTACTCATTTATTAGTCAGCTGCGAAACTTTACAATTTACAATAACCGATTGCGATTGGAGCGCGCCTTCCGAGGCCGATCATAACGCTGTGAACCCTATTTGGGGCTGTATCGAAGCGGTGCCTTGGTGGTTTTGGAAGCGGTCTCGACCTAGTCCACATTTATGTAAAGAAATCCGGGAAATTATGTGAAGGGAAGCAGGGAGCCACCCCAGGTGGCCCAGGTGGCGCGGGAGCCACCTAATGTCGAAAAACACTTACCATTTTTTAAATTCACATAAGTTTCTCATAATTCTTCATACTTTTTTTGTGCTCATGGTCCTCCAACTACACAGCAAATTTGGTGCCATATGGTAACTTGTGCATTGAAAACGAGCCTATTTTGTTATTTTTCTCTTACAAGAATTGCGATTCGAATTCCCGCCTGCGGGCAGGCTAGCGATCGGAGCACAGAATCTTCACATTGCTGGAATCTAAGTTCATAGGACAGTAGCATCAACAAGGAATGATGAATAAAGAATGATATGTGCATTGTTTATCGGTAAACAAAGGGGAAGTCGTATTCTGGGGTCCGGGGCTTCGCCCGCTTTTTCGGGCCAAAAACGATATCCAGCTTGTGAAAGCGCCACCCCCGCCGGGCCCTGGGCGTGCGTGGGCGCCGCAATGTCACCTCGCTTCGTTTAAGTTCGAAATGTTTTCATTTGCGCCAAGCACAGAATCTGCAAACGCGAACCCGGACACAGCCTAGCAAATTGACAAGCTTAGGCTGAGGTTCATTAGTCCGTAAGTTTCAAAACAGTTCCAGCACAGCGCATAGTCCTAGTTTTGGCTGGAACTCTTTCGAAACTTACGGAGCAGTACGAACCCAGCCTTATCTGCCCGGTAGTATTTAACCACTTCAAGATGAAACTTCGCAAGATCCTTTGCTCAGTTCCCGAGCTGCGTCGAGCATGAGCACGCATGACTTCAAAGTTTCGTGCTAGCTTCTGTTTCAACTCTCGTAATCTGGGTCCTCAACATGCTAGCGATTAGATCACTCCGAGAATTCTTCCTTTTTTCCAACAACTTTGACTAGACACCAGATTTCGCAGAATAGTGACTAAGGAAAGATTTGTGATGCATTTGCTTCAGAGCAAGGCTTCCTCTTCTTACTGATTAAGTTTAAGATTAAAAACTTTAAAAAGCGTTGAAATGCGGAGTGTCAATTTTACTTTTTAGATTTCCGCTATCAGTCTCACTTTTTATATGTTTCGCAAATCTCGCAGACTACCAACAGATTGAGCATGCTCTAGTCTTCCCTCGAAAGCTCCAAATCTGCAAATCTCTCTGAAATAATGTTTATTTTTTGGTAAAGAATTTTTTGGCAGCTGAAAAATTTGCGGGTTCACCGTTTTGCAGTGGGTTTTGAATTGTCGTAATTTCTCTTTCTTGCTACAACTTTCTGCAAAAATCTACATTTTGAAATGTGATAAAGACCATCAGGTGCAGCGAACCTTTTTCAGAGCGCACATTGAACTATACTCATATCTCATATGGTCAGAAAAATATGGATTGAAAAACAAAAAGAGTTTTTTTCTGAAGCCTTGTTTTTGACAGAACATAACTCCTTTCACACTTTGTTCTTATGATTTATAAGCAGCCTATCTTGTAGCCGCAATCTAGTAGTACAAATATTCATGGAAACGGCTTGGAGAAAAAAGATTGGCGAAGACGGAAAAATCGAAATTCAAAAATATCACCTTTTTAGCATTTTCAGTAGGCTTCAAAACCCCGTAGTAGAGAATTTTTCAATTTTCTGCGTACTGAAAAGCTGGATGTTTTTGCAAAAACCACTAATGGGACTCCTACCCTCACGCTTACAGAGATGAGCAAAGTTTGAGCGACTGCATTTTACAAAAAAAAGTTATGACCACGACCATTACCCATGTTAAGCCTCCGATATCTCACTTTAGATAACTTGAAAAAACATGGTTGTATATGCATAATGTAGACAATTTCCATTAAATATAGCGGCTAAATTTTCGATAGACCACCTTCATTCGCTCTCAAATTCTGGCCAGAAAAATAAATGCAACGAAAATCCGATTTTGAGTGCGATTATGTGAAGCTCTATAAATTCTTAAAAGAGTGGGCGAAGTTCCTTTCGAACATCGTCAGATAGAGCATGAAAACAGCTTTCTAACAATGTGGTGAAACCGTTAAAAAGAAAGACGTTTGATGGAGAAAAGTTGTCCTGAAAAAAGTCTTAGGAAAACGCTCATTATTTTTGCACCAACCTAATATTTGCGCAAAGGACTGATGTCTCATTCACATGATTTCGTCCACAGGGTTTCATTTTCATTTTCAAAATACTTATGCGTGTAGCGGATGGCAGAATTTTCTAATACATGGCTGTTATCAAGTAAGAAATCTAATTAAAAAAAGCCATAAATTATTTAATGATCAAATGCTCTGAGACATTGCGGTCTTCTTTTAGCTAATTGATATATTTTCAGTTGCTCCAGCAGAAAAACAGATTTATCTGTGAACCGTATACCTGGTGGTATTCCTACCTTTATTGTCTCTTCACTGCTGAACAGTGAAGCTTAATAAGGTTTGGTCCATCGAACTCGAATGGACTGACAAAGATATATAACAATTCTGTTTGGCACAGAATACTTTGTCAATAATAAAGCAATTTTTAGTATCGGTTTTGAAGACATGCAAATTGATGTTAAACACGATTTGATCAAACAGCTATATGCAGAAAAGCATCGAACCAAGTTTCCGAATGTGTTTATATTCATTTTTGGGCCACTGTATACTGTACTGCCATTGTTTGAATCGAATTCACATCCAGGTAATCCAGCAAGTTCTGACTTGGTCTACTGTATAAGAACACTAAGCTCATCGTTTACATAATAACAATAATAACGATTGTGTAGAAAAGTAATAGACTTCCTGCCATATAATATGGTCATGTGCGTGAAAGAAGAAAGCGAAAGCCCCAGAACTTTGCCTTAAATCATAATTCCCTCCTTTTTTCTCAAAGTTTCAGGGCATCAGTCTAACAAGGGAAGAATACCAACATAATTTGGCAAACCAAGAAGTAATGTACATCAGTAGACCTTCACCTTCGAACGCTGATTCCAAATAAACTGCTTTCCTTCTCTGCGGGACTCTTCTCAGAAGGAAGCAGTGGCGTACCGAGGGGGGGGAGGCGGGGGGGGGGGGGGCGCGCGCCTTCCCCCCGAGAATGGGTCGCGAAATTTTTGAAAGTTACTTATATGGGTTATAAAAATGTGCAAGTGACTTGTTTATTTTTGTAAATAATTAAAATAATTTTTAAAAATTTTTAAAAAATCAAATTAGCCTTGTAAAAAAAATTTTTTCGGGGGCGTGGCTAACGCCACGTACCTTCTTTAGAAAAAATTTTTTGTCGCGCCCCCCCCCCCCCCCGAGCCAAAATCCTGGGTACGCCACTGGAAGGAAGTTATGAGCGTTTGAGTGTCTAAATTTTATAGAGTGGCCTAAAATCAGCTAAAAGCTCTAAGACAACACCTAGTGGACTTTTACTAGCTTGTTTCTTCCTTGTCAATATACTTGATACAGAACCAGGGCACGGCACAGGTGGCTTGGCAAGCAAGCTGGATATCGTTTTTGGGGAAAAAGCAAAGGGAATATCGTTTTTACGGTGGAGCATAACGTTGTCTTTCGGTCTGCGGCCGGCACGCTGCCGGCATGCCGCTAGCAAATAAACAAAAGGTTTGTTTACAGCGAAGTGAAGATGAAATGACACCAAAATAGGTGTGTAGATGGGCAATGGGGAGTTAGGACTAAGTATGAAAAATTATGAAAAAATTATGTGAACTAA